CCCCCCCCCGACGGCCCAGCCCTCCTGCAGCCGCCCACTGGCTCAGGGACGGGCAGCCGCCCCTCTCTGCCCTACGCGGCCACAGCCTCCAGGAAGGCAGGGAGCAGGGCGAGGAGCAGCAGGCTGCCCAGGAGGGGCCGGGGGGCGGGGGGCAGTCCCGCGGCGGCTGCCCGGCCCGGCGGCTCCCGAGTCCTCTCGTACAGGTGCAGCCTGTCTTTGTTGGAGTGCAGCATCTTGACGTCCTCCAGGGCGTAGTAGGCGGCCAGCGTGAAGTTCACGTCGCCCGTGGTGAGCAGGTCGAAGACGCAGGCCTGGTAGTAGAGGTCCTCCACGGGCAGTTTCTCCTTGCACTTGGCCACGGCCGTCTCGTACGGGAAGGTGTCCGGGGCTGCGGGCGCGGGGCTGGCGGCCTCTGGCCTGTGCGGGCGGGGGCCCTCGGCGTTGGCGCGGAAGGCCTGGAAGTCGATCTGCTGGTTGAGGGGGCAGCCCCGCAGGCAGAGGTACAGGCCCTGGCTGTCCCGGTCCTCCACGGCGTTGACCACCTCCTCGGGCATGCGGACCGCGAACGTCAGGTAGCGGCCCACCTGGCGCACCACGATGGTGGTGCCGATGTACTTGGCCTGGATCTCCACGTGCTGGCCCGACACCTTCTCCGTGATCTTCAGGCTGTTGGCCCCGTGCTTGTCCCCGCCGTTCTTGGAGCCGTCGGCAAAGGCGGCGGGGAGCTCGTCCATCTCCGCCTGGTACACCTTCTGGTCCACGCACTCCTGGAAGTTCTTGAAGATGATGGTGAGCTGCCGGGAGGAGGGGGAAGGGGATGGAGAGAGGGGGTTAGCGGTGCCGAGATGGTGGTGCAGGGGAGGCCCAGCCCATGCTGGTGATGCTGGGGACAGGAGGAGCCCCCATGATGCCCCAAGCCGTCCCTCCCCATTTTGGTCACCTTTCGGTGCCACCTGCATTATTATGCACTTAATTTTTTTCTTTAAAACAACTTGTTTTACTCTAGGACAAAGGGGAAAAAAGAAGAGAGAGACAAACCAAGCGATAGACTCTTAACTATAGAGGACAAACGGATGGTTCCCAGAGGGGAGGTGGGTGTGGGGGGTTGGAAGAAACAGGGGATGGGGATGAAGAGCACGCTTATCCTGGTGAGCACTGAGGAACGTATGGGATGGTTGAATCCCTATAGTGTACGTCTGAAATTAGTGTTACATTGTATGTGAACTATACTGGAATTAAAAACTTAGTAAAAAAAAAAAACAAAACCCAACTTTTTTTATTGAAAACAACAACAAAAAAAATGGACTTAGAATGGGAACTTTCAATCACTCCCCTAAATAGAAAACCAGCTCATTTACTATATATAGAGGTGGACCATAAAAAGAAAAGCACAGCTAATTAAAAATAAAACTTCATTATCTATTATAGTAGGCTGAGTAATGGCCCCCAAGATATCAGACCCTAATTCCTGGAACCAGTGAATGTTACCTTCTATGCAAAAGAGACCTCGCAGACGTGATTAGGTTAAGGACACTGAGATGGCCAAGTTATCCTGGATTAGCTGGGTGGGCCCTAAATAGAATCACACCTGTCCTCCTAAGATGGAGGCAGGGGGAGATGGGACCATCGAAGAGGGGAAGGCTCTTTCCACAGAGGCAGAGACCGGAGTGGGAGGTGCCCATAGCCCAGGGATGCTGGCAACCACCAGAGCCTGGGAGAGGCACCGAACGGATTTCTCCTGGGAGCCTCCGGAAGGACGGACTCTCCTAACGCCTTCATGTTAGCCCTGAAAGACTCATTTCAGATTTCTCACCTCCAGAGCTACAAGACCAGACATTTCTGCTCGTTGGAAACCCTGAGTTTGTGGTGGTTGTTATAGCAGCGACAGGCAACTAAGATGGTCCCCAACCATCTCACGTGATCTCTCAAGCCGCCCGCGGACCTGCCGCCAGATGCCTTCAAAAGGGCTGTCAGCCCCTGGCTGAGCGTAACGGCAGGTAGATGCGGACAGGCTCATGCTCACAGAAAGAACGGGTGGGCCAAGGCCTGCAGAGGCCACTGTGGCAGGGCTGCCCCGAGTGGTCACCCAGCCAGGCCTCGGAGGTGAGCAGGGGGAAACGAGGAGGGCACCAGTCAGACGAAGGAAGACGGGGGGCGGGGTGGGGGCTCCAGGGTCGGCACGCGGCCCCCGTGAGGGCAGGAGCAGGGAGGCCCATGTCTGCTGGCGCCTGCAGCCGGGGGTGAGGGCCTGGGCTGAGCTGCTGGAGGAGAAGCAGATGGTGGGGCGGCTCCACAAGTAACTCTCCTCCTGAGAACCACAGACGCAGGTGCGGTTGCTGCGTCTTCTAGTCCTGTGGGGCGCTGCAGGGGAGGATGACATGACCTCCCATTTAGAGTGGAGAAAAGTCAGGCTCAGAGAGGTCAAGGGACTCGCGCAAGGTCACACAGCCAGCAAGAGGTAGAACGGGGTTTAGTCTCTTGGTTTCCAGCCCCTGGGCTCTTTTTGGCCACAAGCCCCCAGGGTGGGAGGCCTGGGAGAAGGATGGAGACAAACAGCCTGGGGAGCGAGCATTTCCCCTTGTTATCCTGGCTGAAGGGCCAGGCTGCTCTTTCCCCACCTAATCCTAACTAGGAAGATTGCATGGGCTGGAGACAGGAGTCAAATCTGGGAGAGAAACCACCACCCCTCCTTCATTCCTATGCCCAGGTGCCAACTTTTACCACTGGTGGCTTGAAGACCCCTGCCCCCTGAGCCAAGCGTAGCTGGAACCTGAACTCCGGCCCAAAGCCAGGGAGGGAGGCCGGGTCACCCAGGCCTTTTGGGGTGGGTGCGCTAAGCCCCCACCCCTAGCCTGTGCATTGCCCTCACCCCCCCGGGCCACCAGTCCTAGAACTTGTCCCCTGCCCCCAGGAGGGGAGAGGCCTAGCCAGCTGTGTAATGGGATCCCTGAGGGGTACCGTACCTGCAGGCTGAGGGGGCCCCGGATGTCCTGGCCGTGGCTGAATTTTGTGCTTGGGCGCCCTGGGCAATGTGGCAGTGGGAGGGGCACAATGAAGGCCTAGCAAGCAGGTCCTGCGGGCAGGGGGAGGCAGGGGAGCTGTGAAGGGCCTCAGCTCGGGCCCAGGGCCCGGAGAGGCCGGGGCCCAGGGCACGGTCTGGGGCCAGGCCACAGGCCAGGCAGTGTGGCTACAGTTTGGGAGGTGGGCGGGGGGCGGGTGGCGGCCAGGGGCACAGACAGGAGGCCGAGGGGGCAGCAGGCATGGAGCGGCCTCAGCCTGGAGTCTCAGGAGCAAAGCTAAAGTTCTAGGCTGAGCAAACCAACAGGGCAGTGAGGGCCCGGCCGGAGGTGTCCAGGCTGTCTCATCACTGCTTACACTGGTGAAGCGTATGGGTGATTGGGCCGGGCCGGGAGTGCGCGAGGGGCCTGGACCTTCAGAGAGAAACCCCCCCCTCCCCCAGCCTGATACTCAGAAAGCTGAGGATGAGAGGCAGGCCGCAGTTGGGAATTTTGGGGACCTCAGACTCCTGGGCCTTTGTGGGCCCCCTCCTCCATCACAAACATTAAAATTACATCTTGTGACCGCACTGGTGTCGACGAATACAGTCGAGGTTGGATGATGCTGATTTTTCCTTCTGACTTGAAAACAAATGAAAGCTTTCTCATGGGTCCCTGCATGTCTTGGGGCCCCTGGTGCTGTGCCTGTTGGGGCCCGGTGAATAGTCAGGATGGACGGGGACACATTCTGCTGTCCACATGGGACACGAGGAGGGGCCGGTGCTCCGAAGCTGGAGGCCGGGCGCCCTGCCAGAGTCCAGGCCCGGGGCGGGCACGGCTTCTGGGGCACCGGACTCGACTTCCCCATGCTTCCTGGGGAGGCCACCGCCCAGTCCTGCGAAGCAGTGCAGCCCAGGTTTGCTGTGGGATGTCACAGGTGGCCGCAGCCCCTCCATCCCGCTTGAAGCCCTACCCATCGGACCCCGGGAGCCTGCTGCTACCCTGCCATCCCTGGCCGACAAAAATGCCCATTTCATAGCTCCACCTCCTGCTGCTTCCTTCTCTCGATCCCACGGCACCCGCCCCGTTGTGGATGCTGCCTGTGGGGGGCCGGGAGGTGCAGCCAGGGTGGTCTGGGCAGTGGGTGGTCCTGCCACTGGGGAGGGGGCGAGCGACGAGGGGCTCCGGTGTCCCTGCCTGGTGTGCCGGGGAGCAGGGGGCGGGGGGGGCCTGCTGGTTTCCAAGTGCTATCCGTCTCCTGGAACAGGAAAAGCTGGTTTCCCTCTAACAGTCATCTCTCGTGGAGACAGGCTGCTGGAAGGCTGACAGCCTACTAGACTCTTCTTGGCACCAGCGCCAGGGACTCCACCACAAGTCACAGCATGAAGGGGCCTGTCGAGAGCTGGGCGGCTCGCTGCTAGCTCGGCCAGGGGTACAGCTGCCACTCTTGTCTTTGCCGTCCCCCTTCCCAGGGGGGCCTGAGGCCCCTCCGCCGCACCAGGCCTGGCGCTAGGGGCTGTACCCACACAAGGCGGCCAAAGAGTCCAAGAGCCTTGTCCTCAAGGAGCTCACACTCCAGGGGGGCGACAGACCAAGGAGATGAGTTAGGTGGTGGGACGGATGGTGAGTTCTAGGCAGAACCAGCACAGGGGAGGGGGGAAGAAGGCGGAGGCGCGAGCTCCCCCCCTCCCGGAGCCTCGGTTTTCTCATCTGTACAATGGGGGTGCTCCCGACACAGCTGGAGGGAGGGTGGTGGAGCTGGGGGCTGAGCACAGAAGGAAGTCCCATGGTGGCGGGAGGCTGGCTAAAACGTCAGCTTGGGCTGGCAAACACGGCACCTCGGCCACCTATGAGAACCGGAGGGATGGGCCGGGCTGGATATTGCCGGGGTCCCGGGAAATGAGCCAAGGCCCCTTGGGGTGAGGGGAGGGCCAAGGGCAGTGGGCTCAGGTGGGCAGAAGAGCCTGGCAGAGGGCTCTTGGGGGGAGGCACAAAACCCCCCTCAGAGGTAACAGCCCCTTGGCTTCTCGCGCCTCCCCTGAGGCTCCAGGCTGCCCTCCTGTCCCCCGTCCCTCCACCAGTCTTCTGCCCCTGTCCTTCCGAGCCAAGCTCTGCAAAGGACTTGGAGAAGGCCCTCCCCAGTGCTCCGGGCAGAGCATCCTGCATCCACCCCAAGCACCCCTCTGCCTGCTTTGGTCCTCCACGATCAGCCTGGGAGTGGCCAGGAGGGAGGAGGCCCCCCGCACAGAGGCTGACACCAAAGCGGTGTTTCGTCAACATCTGCGGAATCAACGAATGAACAAAACTGACGCACCTGCGCACCAGAGGCCCAAGAGAACAGGCGCGGGCAGGCCAAGCTGGAAAGCAGAGACTGGCGTCTCTCACCCGGGTAACCCGGTCTGCCCGGGGGCCTGAGACCAACTTGGCCACAGACACGGACCCTGTCACGGCTGGGTCTCCGGGGGCCCAGCCTCGTGCTGCCTCCTGGCTGGTGAGGAGGTAACAGAAGGCTGCGGGGCTCTCAGCCTGCTGGGGAGACTGAGGTGACCCTAGGTCCCAGCAGAGAGGGGCCGGGTTGGTCAAGCTCTGGGGCGGAGCCCCCTACTCTCTGGAGCCTCCATGCTGGGATAGGAAGAGAGGTGCTCCCATCCCTGACTGGGCACTTCTGCCCAATGCCTGGGAACCTGGAGCCGAGTGGGCCTTTGAAGAACACCCTCAAGCGCCTGGATCATTAATCCATGTGGTTTGGGGACAGCATCGCTGGGCTCAGGGTCCCAGGCTGTGCCTGGGAAGAGCTGAGTGTGGTATCCAGGGGTTCTAAGCCCGGGCATGTCACCCCAGCTTGCGGGACCTGATGGGACGTGCCCTAAAGGCTCTTGCCCCACCCCCCTGCCTCGCCGGTCACAAACTGTAATTCCTCCCAGGTCTGTGCTTGGTTCTGTTATCACACCTGGTGCTCATACCAGCCTGGGTTAGGAGGGGCCGGGCTTCTGAGGTCCACGTCGCTCTCATACCCTCAGATTTCCCTGTGTGCCCCTGCCAGGGTGGGACAGGGAGGCGGGGTCCCCTCCCGCAGTCTGTTTGCTGCTGGATTTAGAAGCTGTAGCCTCAGGCTCCTGGTGTTCATTTATCTTGGCTCTAGGGAAGGAGGGAGGTGGGTAGGTGGAGGGGCCCCAGGGAAGGCGGCTGGGTCCTTGACGAGGGCCCCCCCCCCCATTCTGCGGAGGGCTGAGAGGGCGGCCAGGCTGGAGAGAGTGCTGGCCGTAATTCTGCCGCCCACCAGGCTGCACGGCCTGGTGCCAAGGGCCTGCCTGCTAGGGCGTCCACAGGGCAAAGACCCACTTGTTTCTTATCCTGCAGCTGGGCCCAGAAAGAGACCCTTTGGAGGCATGTGGGGGCCACCAGGGCAGAGGGAGATGGCGGGAATTTTCCCGGCTGCCAGGTCACCTCGCTGTCCTCCTGTGGGGCGTGGAGGGACAAGAAGGAACAGAAACGCCCTTTGTGGACCAGCCTGGCGCTGGCCAACGTGTCGCTTTGCAACGTGCTTTTCCTAGGAAAACAGACCCACTGCCAATCTGGAACCCCTCGGGGGCTCTGGTGGGCCAGGCCTTGAGGTGGCACATGGGTCCCCATCCCCTGCACTCTGAGAGCCCACCAGCTTCCTGACCTTGAGGCTGCTCCTTCGGGCTTAGGTCTGAATAGGGGGTCACGGGAGACCCTCCTGGAAGCATGTAGGGGAGGGAGAAGATGGGGGTGTCCAAGTGCCTGGGCCACGGGCCACATCCGTGGCTGCCTCTGGCTGTGGCCCTGTGAGCAGGACTTGAGTCTGAAGCCTTCTGGGGTCAGAAGATGACCGGCTCTCTGCGGCCTCTGGGGCTCCAGATGGGGATAGCCACTCATGGCAAATGAGAACATGCCCATCTGCAGAGCCACCCGGCCCAGGTCAAATGCTAGCTCAGCGTTCCCAGCCCACTGCACTTTGGGCGGAGAGGCACATCCCACTTTGGGGATGCGTCAAAGGGAGCTGCCCCAGCCAGGCAGGGCTGGCCTGAGGGAGGAGGGAAAGCTGCATGGGTGGCCCCTGGGATGCTCAGTAAGCTGCTTCTCTATCCTGGCTTGTTCCATCTC